GTTTTAGATAGAAAATCCTTTCTAAGCTTCATAATCGCGGCAAGCAACAGCTGTACAGCTTAAGGGACTGAGAATCTAATGCAATAAAAGCTGATTTAATGGACTCCATCTCTTTAATAATCATTAAATTCTAAATCAGTCATCACCATTTACCTTCTACACACCTTCGAGGTAGTTAAGTGAAAGATGATTTTCGATGACAGAACATTAAAGATGGCGTTTTACCTAAAATGGGAGCTCTTCCAAAATGAATTCTTTTTTAATTAGGCAGGTCTCAGATACACAGAATGAAGGGTGTACTTTAAGGAATCCATTATCCACGGATGAGTGGGAACGTCATGCAATCTTTACATGCTGCAGTTTGATCCGGAGGGATTTTAGACGCCGGCAGTTTTTGTAAGTGATGGGACATCAAACAGAAACCTTTGAAAAATAGCCCTTCTATAAATGTACATTCACACACATATAATACACTCAAGTATACATTTATTCACACGTCAACATGATTATATAAACACAGTGACCTCAGAATAGAATTGCAGTATCCCTTAATAGCTATGTCATTAGAGTGTCCCCATGGTCCCCATTATACATGAATGGTCAGTTGTAAAATGTTAGATAAATTTTTTTTGCTGTGCTTTACTTGTTTTGTCCTTTAAAGGGACACTGAAGTCACCATAACAACTACAGCTTATTGTATTTGTTCTGGTAAAATCATTACCTTCGGGCTTTTTGTAGCAAACATTGTCTTTTCAGAGAAAAGGCAGTGTTTACATTACAGCCTAGTGATACCCCCACTGGCTACTCCTCAGATGGGTGCTAGAGGTGCTTCTTGGGACAGTGCTGCACAGTGTGACTGATATTAATTATCTCCTCCCTCTGCATGCAGACACTGAACTTTCCTCATAGAGATTCATTCATTCAATTCATCTCTATGAGGAGATGCTGATTGGCCAGGGCTGTGTTTTAATCATGCTGGCTCTGCTCCTGATCTGCCTCCTTGTCAGTCTCAGCCAATCCTATGGGAAAGCACGTTTCACCCTATAGTGTACCTTTTATATAAGATTTTTATTTTAATATACATTCTGTGTTGGGGAGACTGGATACAGCATACAAATGAGGTAATATTGCCCAATATCTGACTAATGAACTATTAACAACTGCCTTCCTTCCATGTCTACAAGTACTAAATCTGTCTCCCCCATGAAATGCCTTTTCTTCCACAGTTATCATGATGTTTGCTTTCAGAGATGTGTTTAGCAAGTGGTTTTTCTGGCTGAAGCCCTGGATGTCCAGGTCCCTTCAGGTAGTAAGAAGGAGGGGTTAAGGGTTAGGGAAATTGGGGATGGGAGAGACAGAAAGGGGGTTAGGGTGATAGTAAGAGAGACCAAGACTAGTTAGGGGAGAAGGAGAGAGAAATGCAAGGGGTTGGCACAAACACAAGGATGGTGAGCAGACATATGGTGATAGAAATCATAGAGTGGAAAACAGACAGGATTGGGATTGTGGGATACAGGACTGCGTGGCTCGAAGAATAGTATTAGGCTTGGGTGCTGCAGTGTTTTGCTTTAGGCTAAAGCCTCAGGCAGAACCAAGCAACTCCCCTGCTTGCTTCTATTCTCTCGATCCATGTGTTAATCGCTCTCATACCACATTACAATGAATATGATCTAAAGACGTGCTAACAGAATAAGTGAAATTACAGCGTTTTCCTTGGGTGGCTCTGCAGGTAGAGGTATTTAACATATTTATCATTAGGCTTGTTTGCATAAAAGCTCCTCTCCCTCCCCCCCCACTTATGATCTACTGAAGCAAGTTGTATAATTTTCAATTAGACATCTGCACTCACTTTCCCTCATCTCACCTCTAATTAAATTTCAGGAAAATGGATATCTGCATTGACTAGAAGGTGCACTATGATCTACTTCTTAATTTAATTCATAAACTTTCTCGGTGTGTGGGATTCAGGTTTGATTAATTCAGGCAGATTTAACCCTGGAAGAGTGCGGCAGCGGCTGACGTGATGAATGGGTTCGATATCCTTTACCTTTCCTGACGCCCATAACTCATGTGAAAAGAACAGATGATTCCGCATCCCTCGTTCTACATCGAGCTTTATTGGAACACCACCGAACATGTATTTTATCAATAAATATTTCAGGCTGACATCGAAGGGATAATGCCAGCATAATCCAGGAATTTAGATTCTGACAAATGATTTATGTTAGGAAAAAATCCAAAATGTATAAATGTCCTCCCAAAGGGAAGATATATCTCTGTCAATATTTAAAGAGATATTCATTTTTACAATTAGGAATTCTATAAATGGGAGCAGTCAATTATCAAAATGTTTAATATTATGTTTACTAATTCCTACATGTTTATGAGGTTTGAAAAATGAAATTAATTGTAAAAATCCACATCTCTTCCTCCTGCTAATGGCTGCCTCCATTTTAGTTCCCTGTCAGTCATTGCTATAAACTCTTTCCTGTGCACTTGGCAGTCAGTATAGAGAGCGCATACAGTGAAAAGTAGAAATGAAAAAACGTTCCTATTTCTCCTCTTCATTTGCATTATGTGCCCTGGCTGTGCCTTGTCTTAATTGGATTATGATATTATTTGCTAAATGTTTATATTAATCGAAGCCAAATCTTATCTGAAGGTCAGAATAAACATGATTCATTAAAGGGTGAATTGTAAGAAATTCAATGTGAATTTGATATATAAGGACAAATTAGCAGAGCTGAAATTGTAGCTGCCATTTTCCAATTCAGTTACTGCATTCTAAAATCTGAAGTTTGCTTTGAATTCCCAGCAATTCACATTGTGGTTAATAATCTATCCAAACAATATTTGAAGCCCATGGAGCAACGTAGGGGGGGAAGGGGCCTTGACAGGGCCAGAGAGTTGGCAGGTGAAGTTAAGGTCAAGGGGTGTGGAAAAATTAATATTTGGTTTAGGGGGGAGAATAGGGGTTTAAATAACGGCCATTTTAGTGAAGTGGCCATCTTAATCAAAAACCTCACTTACTTGTTACTTGTGGCAGGTCTGTGTGGTTTGTTCTTTCTCTTTCATGTAAGGCTTCTGCTGAAGAGATCCTGGCTGGTGTCTGAAGAGTGATGGAGAAGAAGGAGATGTCATGGCTGCAGGACCAATTGGGGGTCCTGAGCACGTCTGCTCCCCCCCTGCGGTGTTGGAGAAGAGGCCGAGGAGAAGGGTACAACCGCCCCAACGGCTCAGCCCAGGAGCAGCAACGATGGTGAGGAGGTGCCGGAGTTCGTCGTCGGGTGGACCAGGAGTGGAGACCCAGGCGGATGGATGGCTGCAAGTGGTGAGAGCGCACCGGTCAGGATGCTGGTCAGGCACAGAGGCCTACAACACAGAGGGCGCCTCGCTGCAGGTCCGCGGGCGTGATATTGCATCACGGGTTTCAGTTGGCAGAGCATTAGTATGAAATTGTTTCACAGGATAGGTAAGGGGTTAATCCCAAATGTAGTATTGGTCAACAGTGGGGGGGAATGACCTAGGCTTGATCCCCCAGCGCGAACTGTTGAGGAGGATGAAGAGAGATTTAGATCGGCTGCGGGAGCTGGCTCCTGGCGTGGTAGTTGTGTGGTCGGAAATGGTGCCTCGTTTTACTTGGAGACACGCCAGGCATCCGGCTGCTGTAGCGCGATGTAGGGGCAAGGTCAAAAGGACCATGGCGGTTTTCGTTAGAAGGATAGGCGGCGTGGTTGTGCGGCACCGAGAGTTGGAGGGCATGCTGCCCGGGTATTTTAGGAAGGATGGGGTGCATTCGTCGGACGTGGGCTCTGATTTGCTTAATTTGGGTTTCCAGGATGGTATTACCCAGGCCCTGTTTATGTTTGGTGGGGGTCACACATGAGCTTAAGGGGGTCAAGTCATGTGCTGTGGCAGAATAGGGCGTGGGTTAAAGAGGATTTAGGTGCAATAGGTAGGGGGTAGGCCAAGTGGTTGGTAGGTTCAAGCTCGTTGGTGGCTTCGAACCTGGGGGTGTAGGGGTGTCTGGGTACACACCTACAGTTAAACATATGGTTTTGGGGCCTCTTTGGTAGGCCATGTGTAAACGTTATGCATTATTGGAATGTTCATTATTGTTATTTGGTAGGGTCATTGTCAGGGGTATTGGGCATGAAGGTCGGAAGTAATTATTACTTGTGACAATTACCCTAAATTGTTAAATTATATATATATTTATAATAATTAATAAAGCTGTGGCCTTTATACTCCAACAGAAAATTTGGTGTCCGAGTGTTATTTAATTAAGGATTTAACACATGCCGAATAACGACTGTGCACATGTCATGATTATTTATAACAAATGCCGCAAATGTTTGCACATATTTAAATCGCATGGCTCAATACTAAAAATTGGTAATTAAAATAAAATAAGAATACATAAAAAAAAAAAATCAACTTTGCTTGAATTCTGCAATTAGTTACAATGAGCACAATTTCTGTCTGAAACACGAAGATGATGGCACTTTGTGGTCACCAAATATGTCTGTGAGGACAGAATATCATCTAACTCCACAAAGACAATTAGATAAAAGGACCGTCAGTAGGGAGAATTAAACTACCCTAGTCTGATTTCCGGAGGGTCACAGGAGAAAGTGCGCTTAAAGACTTTGCTAGGATTTGTGAGTGTGTCTGGCTTTGGGAAATGAAAAAGACAAAAACAATAAAATCCAAGACAGGAAGGGTCATCACCAAGTCAGACAACTTCAGTCAAAAAACCATTTTATTCACAATTAACTATTTCACTGTTTGAAGGAAATTCAGACATGAAATATATCTATGTGTCTGTATGTCTGTATCTATCTATCTATCTATCTATCTATCTATCTATCTATCTATCTATCTATCTATCTATCTATCTGTCTTTCTGTCTGGCTGTCTGTCTGTCAGATTTAGAATGCACAAGGCCCTAAACAATAAAGTAAACGAGGGTCCTGCATTCATGCAATCCCACAGCAGAGATGTGCGTTGGCTCACTAGGAACCATTAAACCCATACACACTGATAGAGGGAGAGACTCACTAGGAACCATTAAACCCATACATCCTGATAGAGGGAGAGACTCACTAGGAACCATTAAACCCATACATCCTGATAGAGGGAGAGACTCACTAGGAACCATTAAACCCATACATCCTGATAGAGGGAGAGACTCACTAGAGACCATTAGACCCATACACACTGATAGAGGGAGAGACTCACTAGGAACCATTAAACCCATACACACTGATAGAGGGAGAGACTCACTAGGAACCATTAGACCCATACATCCTGATAGAGGGAGAGACTCACTAGGAACCATTAGACCCATACATCCTGATAGAGGGAGAGACTCACTAGGGACCATTAAACCCATACATCCTGATAGAGGGAGAGACTCACTAGAGACCATTAAAACCATACATCCTGATAGAGGGAGAGACTCACTAGGAACCATTAAACCCATACATCCTGATAGAGGGAGAGACTCACTAGGAACCATTAAACCCATACATCCTGATAGAGGGAGAGACTCACTAGGAACCATTAAACCCATACATCCTGATAGAGGGAGAGACTCACTAGGAACCATTAAACCCATACATCCTGATAGAGGGAGAGACTCACTAGGAACCATTAAACCCATACATCCTGATAGAGGGAGAGACTCACTAGGAACCATTAAACCCATACATCCTGATAGAGGGAGAGACTCACTAGGGACCATTAAACCCATACATCCTGATAGAGGGAGAGACTCACTAGGGACCATTAAACCCATACACACTGATAGAGGGATAGACTCACTAGGAACCATTAGACCCATACATCCTGATAGAGGGAGAGACTCACTAGGAACCATTAAACACATACACACTGATAGAGGGAGAGACTCACTAGGGACCATTAAACCCATACATCCTGATAGAGGGAGAGACTCACTAGGGACCATTAAACCCATACATCCTGATAGAGGGAGAGACTCACTAGGAACCATTAAACCCATACATCCTGATAGAGGGAGAGACTCACTAGGGACCATTAAACCCATACATCCTGATAGAGGGAGAGACTCACTAGAGACCATTAAAACCATACATCCTGATAGAGGGAGAGACTCACTAGGGACCATTAAACCCATACATCCTGATAGAGGGAGAGACTCACTAGGGACCATTAAACCCATACACACTGATAGAGGGAGAAACTCACTAGGAACCATTAAACCCATACATCCTGATAGAGGGAGAGACTCACTAGGGACCATTAAACCCATACACACTGATAGAGGGAGAGACTCACTAGGAACCATTAGACCCATACATCCTGATAGAGCGAGAGACTCACTAGGAACCATTAGACCCATACATCCTGATAGAGGGAGAGACTCACTAGGAACCATTAGACCCATACACACTGATAGAGGGAGAGACTCACTAGGAACCATTAAACCCATACATCCTGATAGAGGGAGAGACTCACTAGGAACCATTAAACCCATACATCCTGATAGAGGGAGAGACTCACTAGGAACCATTAAACCCATACATCCTGATAGAGGGAGAGACTCACTAGGAACCATTAAACCCATACATCCTGATAGAGGGAGAGACTCACTAGGAACCATTAAACCCATACATCCTGATAGAGGGAGAGACTCACTAGGGACCATTAAACCCATACACACTGATAGAGGGAGAGACTCACTAGGAACCATTAGACCCATACATCCTGATAGAGGGAGAGACTCACTAGGGACCATTAAACCCATACATCCTGATAGAGGGAGAGACTCACTAGAGACCATTAAAACCATACATCCTGATAGAGGGAGAGACTCACTAGGAACCATTAAACCCATACATCCTGATAGAGGGAGAGACTCACTAGGGACCATTAAACCCATACATCCTGATAGAGGGAGAGACTCACTAGGAACCATTAAACCCATACATCCTGATAGAGGGAGAGACTCACTAGGGACCATTAAACCCATACATCCTGATAGAGGGAGAGACTCACTAGAGACCATTAAAACCATACATCCTGATAGAGGGAGAGACTCACTAGGGACCATTAAACCCATACATCCTGATAGAGGGAGAGACTCACTAGGGACCATTAAACCCATACACACTGATAGAGGGAGAGACTCACTAGGAACCATTAAACCCATACATCCTGATAGAGGGAGAGACTCACTAGGGACCATTAAACCCATACATCCTGATAGAGGGAGAGACTCACTAGGGAACCATTAGAGGGAGAGACTCCATTACCCATACCCTGATAGAGCGAGAGACTCACTAGGAACCATTAGACCCATACATCCTGATAGAGGGAGAGACTCACTAGGAACCATTAGACCCATACACACTGATAGAGGGAGAGACTCACTAGGAACCATTAAACCCATACATCCTGATAGACGGAGAGACTCACTAGGGACCATTAAACCCATACATCCTGATAGAGGGAGAGACTCACTAGGAACCATTAAACACATACACACTGATAGAGGGAGAGACTCACTAGGAACCATTAAATCCATACACACTGATAGAGGGAGAGACTAGCTAGGGGCCATTAAACCCATACACACTGATAGAGGGAGAGACTCACTAGGAACCATTAGACCCATACATCCTGATAGAGGGAGAGACTCACTAGGAACCATTAGACCCATACATCCTGATAGAGGGAGAGACTCACTAGGAACCATTAAACCCATACATCCTGATAGAGGGAGAGACTCACTAGGAACCATTAAACCCATACATCCTGATAGAGGGAGAGACTCACTAAGAACCATTAGACCCATACACACTGATAGAGGGAGAGACTCACTAGGAACCATTAAACCCATACATCCTGATAGAGGGAGAGACTCACTAGGGACCATTAAACCCATACATGACTGAACCATTAGACCCATACATCCTGATAGAGGGAGAGACTCACTAGGGACCATTAAACCCATACATCCTGATAGAGGGAGAGACTCACTAGGGACCATTAAACCCATACACACTGATAGAGGGAGAGACTCACTAGGAACCATTAAACCTATACATCCTGATAGAGGGAGAGACTCACTAGAGACCATTAAACCTATACATCATGATTAAGAGAGAGGTTAGCAGTTTCATTAAACACACATTAAAACTTAGCAAACAGTGCTTTTGTAACTTCCATAACACACTTCAACAGGACACCCTGATCAATCATTTTATCTTTCTCATTTAGAAGAGCATTTACAATATATATATAAAGTTGAGACATGTGATACATTTATCTCTGTGCTTGAAGAACAATAATCCCAACACGTCACTTCTTTTCCCATTCACCTTCTCTCTATACACAGCGCACACTTGTGTGACTATCATTGACCCGGAAAATCAATGACTTCAAAAAGTAAGAGTAATAATGTCTTATTGACTTGAGAAGCCGTACGTTGTTACAATAACACCCTATTGATATTCTGTTTATTGCTTATTGTTTTTCAGCAAGTCTCGCATGTATGGTCTTATTTGGTAAATTCAAGAGTTCATTATTTTTATCACAACATATGGCTTAATCTCGTAGAAATATAGAGTGCATAATTGGATTCTGCCTCCCACGTTTTGCTAATACTGGAAGAATAATATGAGTCAATTAACGTTGTCTCCCTGATTTATGAGAGAGAATTTAGGCTATAACTTTGTAAAATGCATTAAGTGGGTGAGGACAGCCTGGAGACTTCTGTTTTTGATTCAGCCAATACAAACTCTCATCCACTTCCACTGACTGGTCAATCACAAATCACAAATACATGCATTTATTGCTGTGTCTATTAAAAGACCAATAAAGTGGTCTGGGTGCAATGGTTCTTCAGTTTTAATCATATAATGTAAGACCTTGCTGTCTAATAGATACAGCAATGCTTATATTGCAGGGTTAAACCCCCTTCCTAACAGCCACTAGAGGTTCTCATAGCCAGCTTCCAATTATACTGGAGCAGTGCTGGTCGTGCATGTTCTTTTCGGCTCCGATGCTGCTTTATGTGGATCACTTGATTGGACAAGAAGAAGATTCAGAGTGATGTCACCGGAGGTGGATCGAGCAACTGTAGGGATTGCATTCCGGCACTGCAAAAAAAAAAAAAAGGTGAGTAAAACTTTTTTTCTCCAATTGTATTTACTCATGATTTGCAGCTGATAAGATTGTTTTGTGGTTAAAAGGACACTATAGTTTAATGTAGTTGTTCAGGTGTCTATAACTTGTCCCTGTAGTCTTTTTAATGCACATTTGAAACCTTTTTAACGGGGGCAAGCAGGGTCGGCCACCTATAATATGTTTTTAACACTACAGTGTCAGGAATACATGTTGTCGAGCTGCATGTATGAACTAAGCCAAGCTAAACAGGCTATAATCTTCTTTGATAAATGGTAATAAAGTGATTGCATTTAAATTGTGAAAACCTGGAAATGAAAGAGTATAAAGTAACTACCACAGGCTAAATGTTTCCTGCCCGAAATAGTTTGCTGGTATCAGGGCCGTCTTTAACGCGGGGCAAACGGGGCAGCTGCCCCGGGCCCAGTTTCTCTTGGGGGGCCCGAGGCACCTGCCCCGTGGGCCCCGCTGACCCCGGCGGCCGGCCGGTCGGGCAGGAAGGCGGGCGCGCGAGGGAGCACTCAGTGCTTCCTCTTCAGCTCCCTCGCGCACCCGCTTGCACTGTGCGGGCGGAAGATGGCGGCGTCATCTTCAGTATCCAGCAGCGAGGAGGTGAGGAAGCACTGAGTGCTCCCTCGCGCGCCCGCCTTCCTGCCCGACCGGCCGGCCACCCAGGAGCCCAGCAGCACCACTGGACCCCAGGGAATCCCCCCAGCACTCCAAAAGGTAAGGAGGCTGGGGGGATTACATTTAAAAAAAAAAAGTGTGTTTGTGTGTGTTAGTGTTTGTGTGTTAGTGTATGTTAGTGTGTGTGTGTGTTAGTGTGTATGTGTGTTAGTGTATGTGTGTTAGTGTATCAGTATGTCTGTGTGTGTGTCAGTATGTCTGTCTGTCTGTGTGTGTGTGTCAGTATGTCTGTCTGTCTGTGTGTCAGTACATATGTGTGTGTCAGTATGTGTATGTGTCAGTATGTCTGTCAGTGTGTCAGTATGTCTGTTAGTGCATGTGTATGCATGTGTCAGTATATCTGTCTGTGTGCCAGTATGTCTGTGTGTGTGTGTCAGTATATCTGTCTGTGTGTGCCAGTGTATGTGCCTGTGTGTGTGTGTCAGTATTTCTCAGTGTATGTGGGTGTCAGTATTTCTGTCAGTGTATGTGTGTCAGTATGTTGATCAGTGTGTCTGTGTGTGTGTGTGTCAGTATGTCGGTATATGTGTCTGTGTGTCAGTATGTCTTTATATGTGCCTGTGTCAGTATGTCTGTCAGTATGTCTACCAGTGTATGTGTCTGTGTGTGTGTCAATATATGTACCTGTGTCAGTGTGTCTGTCAGTGTATGTGCCTGTTTATCTGTATGTAGTCAGTGTATGTATCTGTGTATCTGCTTGTGCGTCAGAGTGTGTACCTGTGCATCTGAGCCGCAACTTTAAATACAAATACACCCTCCATTCAAACTTCAACACTACATATAAAACACACTCCTGCATTGAAACGTCAACACTACATACAAGCACACTCCTACATTCAAAAACAAACACTACACATAAATGCACACTTGCATTCAAACTCCAGTACCACATACAAACACATTCACACAAACATACTCCATACAAACACATGCTTACATTCAAACATACTAACATGGCTCAGTGCTAAATACAACCCTGCAAGCATGGGAAATTGGTAGAGTCCCAGCTGTCAAAGCATTGTTGGAGTTGCACGACAGATGGGGTTCTACCTTTAGTCCAACCTTGCAATTGGGGGTCCCAATAAAATTAATTCTACTTTAGTACCGCCACTGCGTTGGGATGGATGCCGTGATTGCATACCAGGGAGTGAGGGGCGAGAGCTGCAGGGCACAAGGGGCCCAAGCAAACACTTGCCCAGGGTCCATTCGTTATTAAAGACGGCCCTGGCTGGTATTATCACTTAGCTTGTTAGTTATTGCAAAGTTTTCCATCAAAAAGCTAAATGAGAAAATTTTCACTTAGTTCGTCCCATAGGACTTTGCAAGGAAACCGTTAAAGCTCTACATTTTCAAACAGATAATTCCAATTTCAAAACTAATTCCAATTAGCAGGCACTTTTCTTCATCTAATTTGGGGAGCAGAGTAATTTTCTCCCAGCAAAAAGTCATCTTGTACACCCAAAATTAGTTGTTAATTCATTCATGATTTTAAGACTCCCAGTTTAAATGGATTAAATAAAACATTGAAAATAACCTATAGCTTGTGTTTTTTCATATGATGCTTCATTACACATTTGTTAAAGATTTAGCAATTAACAGCCAGTACAACCCTGGCACAGCCAAGGCACATAATGCAAACGAGGAGGAGAAACTGAAAGATATTTGTGGTGTCAATGTTGTAGGAGACAAGTCCTGTAGTGTCAAGTTTAGACAGATTTGCAGACTGCATTTCAGCTTTATTAGTTTTTATTTTACCCTCCACAATACAATTTTAGCCCAATGGCTAGCACAGATGGCTAATTTGAACTCTAAGCACTTTTTCGTCTGTAGTTAATATCAACAGGTATTTTACCATCTAGTCGACCTTTGGATATGTGGAGATTGATTACTTGGGCAAAAAATAAAAAAATACACACATACACCCCCCATATCTAATTATAGCTAGATAATATATTTCTGATATGTACAAACAGTGAAATACGTATTGTGTACTGCCAAGTGACAGATGCTCTATAAAAACTGGGCTACAGAAAGCGACCCCAGGAGGAACTACGGTAGTGGTCAAATAATGTATTACTTGCAAAAAGATATTACTCTGCCATCTTGTCACCTGTCTATCATTTAAAAAAAAAAAAAATACTTTTAAACATATATTATAACAAAACCCATTTGTCATAATTCACTTATGCAATTTACTAATTTCTTAACGTATATCATATAACAAATACAAAGACATACAAATACAAACATATGAGTTATTAAATATCTATCCTTTGATCCCAACTTAGGCCACTTTGAACGTAAGAGTTCTGTTAAGACACCCCTGGTGTCTTTAAATGAAACCGCCGTTTAGTTCACCTTCCCCCTTCGCAATATCAGCAATCCAGTTGCATAACTGTAATCCACAACCCATAACCAGGGG